CCTACAAACGAAATCCAAGCTCACGAAAATGCGATTAAAGACATGCTAAGTGCATTTTCCCAGACAAGACAATTTTTTTTTGTTTTCTTTCCATCTCTGATTGTCCTTTATTCAAAACGAGATAACCTCCTTAGGTTCGTTTTTTTTGATTAAGTTCATTTCGTTCATCAATTAATCTAGAATGTGTGCTTTAAAAATATAAATCAGACTACAGAAATATCAATCGAAACGTAAGAATTTTGTTGATGAAGGTTCTACATAACATTCTTTAAAAATTCCTGGGAAAAAAAACTTATTTAACTTATATTAAAGTTTATTAATTCCTTTTTTCAGAAAAAAAAAAAATATTAAATCACAGGGTAGGTCTGAATGTCTACACTTTTGAGAATTGCAGTGTATAGTTGTCCCCCTTTTTGGAATGGAGAAAAACAAAAAAATTTTACATTCTAGCAACCTTTTTTTATTTATTTTTTCACTGTTATAGTTTTATTTATCATTATAATTTCTTTTTTTGGTTGTTTACTAACAAAACATATTTTCTTGTGCATTTAAATCAATTTAATGGGCTTATTGCAAAAATATTTGGTTTTAAAAACAAGCAATATATTTGCACTAATTCTTTGAAACAATTGTTATATTTTTAATTTTATTTAATTTTTGCTCAATAACTACAGTTCTATACCAGAAAATGTATTTCGTTTATCTCAGTACCAAAAATGGTGGCAACTAAATAACAAAACTTTTGACTGTGATATATATGAACACCTTATATTCCATAAATCGAATATTAATTATTTGTTACAAATCGCATTAATTATTTGTTACAAATCGCATTAAAATTAGTTATTTAGTTTTACTTAAAATAACAACCGGCAAAATAATTTTTAAAGAACCAATAAAATAATCACTTAGAGGTAACAAAAATATAAATTATTTTTTATATGATTTGGTTATAATTAGAAAGAAAAATAAAAAAAAAAACGCCAAAGCAGAAAAAAATTACTATATTATTATGTAAAATTGAATATATAACTCATTATGGTGAAAAATAAAAGAAAGAGATAAAGTATAAAATTATAATCTAATTTTTGCTAAACTTAATTTATTTATATATTTTTTCGTTGCACTCCAAGTAGCAAACTCTGGTTACTAAAATAACTCTCTTAAATCATGATATGCTTTAAATAACTTAAAAATCAGTATCAATTTTTGTTTTCTTTAATGTTGGCGCAGTTACATCGTCAAATATAAAACTTTTTCATTTTATTTTGGCGGGCTGTTTCAAATATCATTGATATTTTATGAAGCTCATCGGATATCTATTTAGACATATAAATGATAAGTCGACAAGCGATAGGACCGAAGACAACGGCATGATGAAATCATAAAATAATACAGCTAGTTCTTCATCTAAAATGTTGATAGAAGATTAAATTTTTGATGTAGAAGATTTTAATGTCATACACATGTTAATAAGTTAGAATTGTGAGAACACGTGTTAATAAGTTAAAATTTACAAAACAATTTTCGTTATCTTTCTCACAAACATTTATATTTTTAAAAAAGAGTCATAAAAAATGCTTTAATTATAAACAAAAAATTGAATTAAGACAAGCTTTTAATTAATTTGCCTCGTTACAAAATTATCCAAACAAAAATGTTATTAAAAAAATCATTTAATAATGAAAAAAATTACACAGAGTTAATTTAATTATAGTTTAATTAGTTCAATTAATGAATCATATTTATTATTAGTCCCCTTAGCCCCCTTATCTTTTATAACAGACATGATGATGGAAAGAATGCCACGGAAACTCGTCCCCGGTCAAACGACATGATCAGTGTCTAAACTTATTCTTTTCTCGCCAAATCTCACAAGAGCTTAAAAAATCAATTTGAATTATCATTTATAAATTAACAGTTCCATTTTTTCTTTTGTATTAAGTTTAAAATACAATTTTATTTTTTCAGAATTGAATCAAAAAAGCCAATATTTAAAACTATTTTTTTTTAACAAAAAAGATTTAAATACAAAAAAGCAATCAGAACTAAACTAAGATAATATTTTACCTTAATTTTTTGAACTCCAATTTAAAAACAAAGATACTATTTTTAAATTAAGAAATTCAACTTTTCTAAGCGTTTACGTTGCGCAGATAATTAATTATTTTTCTATATAAAATGAAAAATTCAAAGACAAATATAACAAAAAAAAAAAAAAAAAAAAAAAAAAAAAAAAAAAAANAAAAAAAAAAAAAAAAAAAAAAAAAAAAAAAAAAAAAAAAAAAAAAAAAAAAAAAATAACAATAAGATGGTGGAATCAGCATTTGATAAGATATGTTATTAGTATTTGGAAGATTCAATTAGAAGCGAAACCACAACGAAGATAAGAAGGAGGATTTCCTTTAGCTTTCACTTTTAAAGAAGTAAAATTTTAAGAAAATCCATGATAAAAGTGGAATTTATATCCTTCTAAAATTTGAATCCATTTTATGATTAACAAATTTAACCGTTGCGCTATAAAAAAATAACAATTTTAGAAGAAAATATCACGATTACAATTTTGTAAAATCTAAACCATTTTCTGAATAATTAATTAATTGTTGATAAAATGATTTAAGTCGAAGTCACATTCTTCCAAACAAAATAAAACCGTTTTATGAATAAATAAATTTAATATGTACAAGTAATTATGTTATAAAAATTTATTCATCAAATAAAAAATGAAAACATTGAAAATATGCCTGAATACTATTTATTTCAGACTACAAACTTATAATCAAATCATAATTATCGCTGTATTATGCATTTAATAGTTTCATTTAAGTTTAATTAAAAAATAACGTTAAAATATCACAATAAAACAGTCCAATTAATTTTTAAAAACAATTTAATTAAAATTCAACTATGCCAAACATTAAGTTTCTATATAAAATCAAATTTGGTAGAAAAATTAAATATAAATCTTACAAAATTTTTTTAATTTTAATTAAATTAATCATTATGACTAATTACGACATTTATACGGTTATTTATTGACGTTATTTGATACACTCGAGATATAAACAAACTTAAAAGCATCGAATATGTGTTTAAAGTGAAACGAGTTCTACGCCAGCATTCATTAGTAACTTATAGCAAGTAATGTGCATAATCAGTAATATTTTTTTTACATAATTTAACAGAACTAAGCACAAATTTGCTTCTAAACTAGATCACAGAAATCGTCATCGATTCAAACCTAAAGAACGAATACAATAGGGTAGAAAACGGTTTGATTATGACGATCTTATCTAAAACACAACAAATTTAAAAACAAAACAATGAATCACCAAAATATGACAGTTGGCATTACCTAATATTATCACCAATAGATGGTGGTACATATATCCAAGGCAGCGATGTATCTTCAATCAAGATGTTTTTCAGCGATAGAGAAGAGACGCTTGCTGTGCAACGGTACTGCACCAATGCTTATTATGATTATCAATTTCAATTAAGCAACACAAAGGAGAAATGTATTCAAAAAGGAAATCACTCGATCCAGACCTCTTATCAGCTTTCTTAACAAAAGTAGATGCATAGAGAAAAAGGGAGCGTCAAATGTTGGGCAAGGTTTTTTTTTTGCGATAACTGATAATACCGTTATTGCATCGTACACACCTGCACTTCATTAATGAGAGCAAAGTTCTAGGATTACGCTTATCAGCTAATTTGTTAGGTTTTTTTTACACCCAAAAGGTTTTCCCATTAAGAACAGGATCCTTTGTTTCAAGACAAGATTGCCACTTATGTCAAGAAACGGGCAATGGATCTGAATCAAAGGACTGATTCATTAATTTAATCAGATTGGTGAATTTGAAGATGCTACTTTGGTCTAAAAGCGTTTGTCTACTTTAGCATTCATATAAATCAAACAAAGAGGAGAAATAAATATAAGCTTTTAAAAAAAAAAGCAGTTTCTACCCTTAGATCAATAATGAAGCGTTTATGAAATGAGATATGACATTCAAACATGTGATTCCATCTATAATATACCATCCAAACGTAAATCATAAATCTGTGATATGCCCTGTAATTATGATTCAAACATTCCTGTAATATATGATCCAATTATTATCTATTGCACGATAACGGAAATGCCATTAAAAAATACTTGATCTTACATATCATCATCATTTCATAGAAAACGGGAAAACAGTTATAATCCTGGTCATCAGGTACAAAAACCACTATAGTTTAGGTAAGTTATAGTTGAGTTTTAGGTATGTATAGTTTAGGTAAAACCATATTTAGGCGAAGAATTCAATAGGAGGAATGCAATTTTCGTGTTGATACTTATACAAACTGATACCAATCTACAGAAATAACTATTGACCCATGTCCATTTTTTTCAAACTGCAATTTGGCAAAAGCAGCCATCAAGCACGATTATTCAGTCTATACTACGACACGATGTACTAACGCAGGTGAGAATCTTAATATTCTCAAACCTGGAAAGCTTTTTAATGAACATTCTTCTTTAAGAATAAGAATCTATACGCATAAGCATGTGCAGTCAAAACTGCAATTTGATAGTAACAAGATACTGCAAAAGTAACAAGGGAGAAAACGTAATTGGTAAATTAATACAGTTGAATATAAAAGCTATTCAATATGTCTTTTTAACTAAACAATACTAATGAAAAAATTAGGTTGTTGGAAAATCTTAAGAATGACTGTGTGTATTTAATGTCCCGTAGACATCAAATTAATTCATTAAAAGAGAAAATAACGTATTATTTTAACTTATTTTGCCAGCATTCAAAAGAGTTAAAAAAAAAAAAAATTTTATGGATATAATGTGGAAATCCTTACTTATAAAAAATTCTTGAATGTAGTTCTAAAGTAGAAATCTTAACTTATAAAAACACTTGAATGAATATTTAAAGTAGAATAAGAGAAACAACTGGAAAAAAGAGTTTGGAACATATTATTTATCTATACAAAGAGTAGCATACTTGTTTCCTTTTCCATTAGCATAAATCACGTGCTTAGAAGTTTTCAGCGTTGTACATCCAGGTCGTTTAAATCAGAATCTGAGAGAAATATAATTTGATTGAATTCTTTTTACAAAGAATTTTTCCAATTATATACCTAAAAGTAAAAAAAAAAAGAAAAATTCCATTCAAATTTCCAAATTAAACAAACGTTTTCATGACATTTAGAATCCTAAGTCTCAAGCCCAATCGTGACAGTAGGCATGCACGCCAGCGAGATAAAGTTGATTTACGAACGTCGGCAAAACTTACTCATTATCTACCATGTTTATCACCACAACAAACAGGTAAAAGTGATGCCACTTCGCGTCTGCCAAGAAAATGATAGAGAAAACAATAATTTATTATTTAAAAAAATATTCCAGGGCTTAAAGTGGTGTACCGAGTACCAGAGGGGAGCAGAAATGAGTAATGAAAATCTGTTAACCTTATTGCTCGTGAAGATCAGTTTCAATTTCCCAAATTGTACCAGATTTCAAACATTAATCAATTCAATTCATATTATAGTAAAGCATAACGGCGTTTAGAAAAAAAAAATCAACTCTGAACTTTTGCTCTAAATCGTGCTAAGCTCATGCAGTAATGGAAATAATAATAACCAACTGCCGTGATATTTCCGATTTGATTGATAACAATGATAATTTCCGTCGAGTACCTGAAATCAATTTAATGCCACCTTTGAGCAAAAGAGAAAGAAAAAAAAAACAATAAAACAGGGCGCGATACCGTTTAGATTAATTGTTTAAAGGAGAGAGAAAAAAATCCTCTTGATATTGACTAGTTGGAAAGACCAAAACTAGTCAGAGCGGTTTAAAAAGTCAATTATTCGAATGGTTAAAAATCTCCAACAAAGTAAAACGTAATTAACTAATATCTTTAACAGAAAAGAGATAGTCTGCTTTTTCTTTTTAGCAAATGGCCGGATAATTGGAAATTTAGTCCGATTTGTTAATGTAATTTGCTATATTACATTAAAGTTCAAACAAATTCTATTCAATAAAGTTTACAATTTTTTTTTAATCAGTTGTTTAGAAAGTAAGAAAAATGTTTATTTCAAAAGCTCAATAACCTAGGCAAGTCATTAAAATTAGTTGTAATGAACCAACTATAATAGGAACCTAATTGAAATAAAAATTAGCAAGTCATTAAAATTAGTTGTAATGAATCAACTATAATAGGAACCTAATTGAAATAAAATAAACACAATTTTATGCATCCATTAATTCAAACAGAATTAATTCTTATTCTGGATTTAATTAGAAAAATAAAGGAAATCGAATAAAACTAGCTATAAACTGAAATTATAAATCTTAAATTGTATACGTGTAACAAATATATTAGACTGAAACTCAATAGCAAAATATCATTAAAATATCAACAAATTTCGAAAATGTACTATCTGAATGTGACGAAAAACCTTCTATCACGGATATATTCTCACACTCATACTGTAATACTATATGTTGATAATGTTATATGTTACATAATACATTAATGCATTATGTAACATGTATTATGTACATGTATTATGTATAATGTATTATGTATAATTATATAATACATAAATGTATTACATAAACAACTATATTTATAAAAAAATGGAACACATTTAAGCTATTTAGTAAAAACAGTAATAATTGCAAAAAGTTTTTTAAAAATATAAAATAAAAAAGGAAATTAATATACGGTTAAGTTGTGCAAATAGCCAGATAAAAGTTTGGCATACCTTAGGTTCAAGACCATAAGCAACTTTCAGGCGGTTTTATGTAAAATACTATTTTTTGAAAATGGAGTAGTGGAAAAAAATTGCAGAGATTATTTGGTATGATTATAGATAAATAATATTATAATGTGTAATTTAATATCATTATCTAAAACTTGATTACTCCAAAAGATACAAAAATTTTATGGAATTTTATTGTAGATTTGAAATAACTGCAAATACATAAAGCTTTAATTATAAATAATCAAAATAATATCATTATAAAATTTTACTACAAGTTTTATAATTAAATATAAACTCATTGAAACTTCATTCAAAACCTTTCAATTATTTACTCCTGTATTTGAAGTAAATAAATTAGATTTTAGCTTCAAACAGTTGAGTCGTATATGTATTAGCAATTAAAATTTATAAGGATGCAAAAGAATATTTTTATTAAGTTATATTTTAAATAAATAAATTAGGCTATAGTTCTATGTATATATATATATATTGTTAGGGATGGGCTATGCAAGCATTGGTCACAGCAATAACGAAACTTCACAACAAAACAAAGAAATATTTCAATTAATTTATGTTTAGAGCGAATAAATTAAATTAAATTTTTTTTTATCGCTTTTCAATGCAAAGAGTCAATCTTATTACATCTAATTATAAATCGGATTTCAAAGAGATGTTGTTTAAAAAATTATTATTAATCCTTTCTCTAGACGCAGTTAAATAGAAGAGAATCAACTTGCGCATGAAACACCGACAACTGTCTGAGTAGATTACAAAACTTCCGAATAGTTTAATTTAATTGTTCATTAAAGACTATATTTTATTATCATTGTCTATTGAAACGAAGAATCTCTAATCTCTGATGTGAAATGAAAGTTTCCAGATTTGAAAACAGTTATCTGAGTTTAAACAAGAGCCAGAAGACATCTTATTCTGTTGATTTTATAAATGCTAATTTGAAGGGAAAAAATGAGTGTAGTTAATTTAATAGTTACCATCTCTTTAAGAAATTCTGCTAATTAAAAATAGGGAATGGGAATAGTAATGAAGTTTTATCAAATGTTTGAAAAATAATTGAATTCAAGTAAACATTTAATTTAAAAATGTATTCAAAATATTTATTAAAAAATAAGGATATAAACAATTAATTCGCATAAATTAATTGCTCTTCGGATAATGTCATAGAAATTTTTTTACTCTTGGTTGATGTTCAAATTGTTGAGATGCTAGTCTTAATAATGTTCAGAGGGGGATTTTATTACTTAACACTTTGTCACGCAATATTATAACTTTAAGACATGTTTCTCGATGTTAATTACTTATTTTTATTTATTAAAAAAAAAAAACTTTGTTAGCATATTCTTAACAAAATTTTTTACCTAACTTTAAATGTGTTCTACTCAAATAAAACAAGTCCTGGTTTATTGTAGAAATTTTTTTTAATGAACATTAGACATACAATTACACTTATAGAAAAATCTGTTTAACATTAAACTATAATAACGTAAAAATTTACTTTTATATTAACTACCATGTAAAAGGAAAATTCATACCACGTAAATATGCTGCGCCTTAATAAAGTGTTAAATTGAACCGTGCTTGTCTGAACCATGTATAAAATCATGTAATCAAGTTTAAGGATGGTTATTATTCATGATATTGTTACCTCTTTACGCCGTAATAAAGATGCAAGAAATTTAAGCAACATAATGATTCAACTAGTCAATATTTCTAAATGGGTCGATATACTCAAAGAACTGTTAAATTATACCTTATTACAATCATTGTACAAATTTTTTTAAAATTCTTATTTTACAATCAATAGGGGGAAAAAGGAAAAGCAATTTATTTCATTTAAAGTTAGCACAAAAAAAAAAAAAAAAAAAAAAAAAAACTTTTGAGAAATAAATGCGAAGAAATATTCTTTTATGTTTATTGATATGCATGGAAAATATTCTGAAAACTAAAGCGAGAAAAAGCACCCAATGCCCCAGAGACGCAAAAGATAGTCCCATCTTTTCAATTGCATTGTAGCACGCACTACTTGCTATGCGTAAAATTCCCCTAAGTCTTCATTAAAAAGTATAGCCAAAACGGAATGTGCCGATGGAAAACTAACATTGGGATTTGGACTTTCACAGATTTTTTTTTATATAAGTTTTTGTCACTTCTTTTAACAAACGTAAAAAAAAAGAAAAAAAACGGGGGTAAACAATATTCATTAATCCTTTCACTGCAAAGAAGCACACTGGGGAATTACCCCGATTTAAAGTCGAGAGTATTTTTCGCCCAAACGAATAAAATAAAAATTAATATTTTACTAACAAAAAGGGGAAAAAATAAATAAACGAAGAAATGTTGTTTGCATGGCTAAAATTTATCCAATCGCATTTTCCTATAAAGATACATTGTTTTGGTAAAGAACTTAAGTAGATTACTAAAAGAATTTTTAGGTATTAATGTAAGTCTAATATTTGTAACTTAGTTTTGAGAATTTAAGGATTGACTGAGATTTGAAGGGAATTAAGTAATGGTTTGGTAACATTTTGCATATCTTTTATCTATCTCTTATCCTCTGTTTCGATAGAATATTTTTATTTAAGTATCAGCTACATTTTTGACGCAAGGGAAAAAGGCGCACACTTTAGATGATGAAATAATTCAAGAATTTTGAATTATTTTTGTTTATCATTTGTATACTGCTATTTAAAAGGATGGAAATAATTTTAAAGAACTTAATCCAACTTATTGATAAAACTAGCATTCAGCTATAACTTATTGTTTCGGTTCCTTTGCATTTATTATTTTACGATTTATTTCCTATATATTATAAAGGGTGCCTCAGGATTAGTGGGGATAACTTTAAGGGGACTTAGCGGACATCACAAGGCATTGCAACCCATGGTTGAAAAATTCATTGGAAGGTAGTATTACAGGCACATGAAACAAAGAAAAACAATATTGAGATAGCTGAAATATTTTTTGGTGAAACATATTACATGTGCTGCGGCAGATGATATGTGAAAATGTCACAAAAGATGTTCAAAGTTTCCAATATTGCTAGCGATGCATGCGTTACACCGTCGGTTCATGGATTAGTGAACTCGCTTAAATACAACTGGATTTTGTTGGACATTTGCAGCAGCACATATGATTCTTGATTCTAGAACCATTAAATCCACTGTTGTTGCGTACACAGCACTTTTGAGTGCATCCCAAACCAAGAAATCCATGCTGAAATCGGGAGAGCGTGGTGGCCACCAGGGAACCGGTTCTCCATGCCCACTCCATCCTGAGAACAATACCACAAAAAAGACGTTTGTTATGCAAATCTGAATCCTTGTGATGCTCCCTATCTCCCCTTAAAATTTGTCCCAATAATCCTGGGACACCCTGTATTAATGCTTAATAACTATTCACTTGTACTGATTATTTAAATGCACCTTTAATTCTTTTGTGCAGATCCTTAAATGACATCTAAACAATTGCAATATTTGATACTTGATAAACACAATTTTTTTTAAAAAGAGTTCCTATAATCCTAAAATGTGCTTAAAACACAATCATGATTTTCTCAAAATGCCCTGATTGGAAGTTATGCTAATCACTAATGAAATACAAATTGCATTTACGCATTTCTAAGAAAAACAGTTTCGCTTACTATTAATGTTCAAATAATTTTATTTCACTAACACATTTGTTGCAAAATTATCCCTCCCCCCAAAAAAAACTACTTTTCTCAATTCGTCTTCTTATTACTTCATTAAACACAGAACTGGGTAAAAACAATGCCAATTGCCATAGCCAATTGGGGATATTTTTATAAATGATGAAAAAAAAAAAGAAGGTAAAAATTGCTAACTAAAGAGCCAAGAGCCGTACGAAAGAATGACACTCCAGCTCATCTTCGCTCACAACACGAGGGGGAAAAAAGGCAAACAAAGGAAAGAAGCACAAAAAATAAATAATGAAAATGAAGCAAAACAAAAGTAAGGCAAAAGAAAGCAGTTATGAGTCAATCGATGAAACCATTGGTTGTGTGGGCAGCCTAGATGGCCAAAACTGAAAGCAAAGAAATCGGTTAAAAGCTATTACCGTTCGCCCATAACAGAGGAACGTGCTCTACCTAAACCCTTGTACTTTTACACATTAACGCGCCAAATAATTTGGAAGAATTTTTAAGCGAGATTTTTAGGATACTATATGGATCAACTTGTGGTGAAATTAGTTGGTTTGGCGTCATCTTCATCGCCAAAAACAATACATACTTGATTGACTTATAATCCTGGTCAGAAATTGGAGTATGATACAATGTTTATTGTTGCAATTATCAGAGTCAGTTTTATAAGTTTTTTTTTTCCTTTAAAAAAATATTTTATTAATAAGTTCGAAAAGATTTTCCAGGGACTAACAAAACAAATACGATATTTTAATACCATTCAACCTCTGCGTTAATAAAGTAGTTTAAATATTAAAGAAGGCTATTGTAAAGAAA